CTTGATGAAGAAAATAAGCTTCTAATCTCAATGGGGTCTAATTTATCCACTTTTTTCCTCTCTTAATTTTGTGTGTGTATATGTGTGTTCCACGTAATAGATATTTGCCTTACCTTAGAGTCTGAAATTACCCTCCTGGGCTTTGTTCAGAGGCTTCGTTATTTTACCTCTCACATGGAGGCTACACTCCTCCAGGAGTTCATCAAGGTTTTTCTTTCCACTATCCATTTCATTGCGTTTCCATCTCCAATGGCTCCTCACTGTTTATTGGAAAAGAAACACAGCATAACATCCACTCCATTGTGTGGAAAATGGCCATCTCAGGATCCCTTTTCATGTAGGGTGAAGTTAATTCCTTTCACAAAATCCTTTATGACACAGCAGCTTGAAACAGAACCAACATCGGAAAAAATTAAGTAAAGGCAGTCTTCGGAAGTAAAGAGACTGGCAGCAAGCTAGAAACAGAAGAATTTCTTCAATTTATATGAAAAATCAAGGGCAGGAAACCCCAAATGACTACAAAGGAAGTAGGAAGGACAGTTAGCGTGGTTGGGAGTAGTTATGGCCAGAAAAGTGCACGTGGGAGGCTTCTGGAGAATTTGAAATACTCGGTATTTTCATCACAATGGTGACCACTTGTCACTGTTCACTTGTGCCCTGAAAATGTTTGCTCTTTATTCTGTATGTATTTTATCTCAATCAAAATGAAAAAGGACAAAACCCAGAGCCTTTTAAACAAACATAAGAAAAAAAACAAAAATCACCAAATATTTGTGACAACTCAACCCCACTAAAATGTAAATATGACTAGGAAAGTTCTGAAAACCCATAAAACTGGTAGAGGAAATAGAAGGGGACATGTAATTGTGTGCCTCTACCCTTTGAGCACCATCGATTTTATCTCTATTGGTTTTCCTTCAAATGCAGAGACATTTGATCTTACTTTGCTCACTGGAGAGCCTCCCCAACCCCTTCCACTGGTTCTCTCCAGACAAGGAATTTGCATGTTGTTCTCTAGGGAGGCCCTTCCCTTGCAAGTCTGAGATTAAAAGGTCAGCTCTCATTTTGCTTTGACTTATCCCAGGACCCATCAGTTCAACCTCCCAAAATGACTTTCCTTTCTCAGTTCCTGGGGCTGCTTGATGCTCTGGATCACTGATAAGGATGGAGGGGAGATGAGAAAGGAATAGGGAGGGGGTGGGGAAGGTGAGCTCTGGGGACACAGCTGCTTATGATGTATATTTGTCCAATGTTAGATGCATACATCTTGCTCTCTAGGATGGGGCATGTTTAGATAATGAGACTGAGGAAAATTCCAGAAGGAGCAAGGAAGGATCTGTGCTCTGATGAAGACTATGACACAGAAAGAGTGGGATGGTGTAGGTGACTTCTAGACACCCCTTTGTATGCTGCAAATCTTGGGTTCTTTTTTGAAATTGGATATTTTAGGGTAGAAATCAACATTTTTAAATGATTCAACCTGAAATAAATAACAAGAGAAAAATTCTGAAAATGGCTCATAAAGTTTGTATGTAACCTTGCATTTCTCTCTCCTTACTTTAGGATCCAATGGGGAAATCGTGATGACACAGACCCCACTCTCCCTGCCTGTCACCCCTGGAGAGTCAGTCTCCATCTCCTGCAGGGCCAGTCAGAGCCTCCTACACAGTAATGGAAACACCTATATAAATTGGCACCTGCAGGGGTGCCTGGGTGGCTCAGATGGTTAAGCGTCTGCCTTCGGCTTAGGTCATGATCCCAGAGTCCTGGGATCAAGTCCTGCATCGGGCTCCCTGCTCCTTGGAAGCCTGCTTCTCCCTCTGCCTCTCTCTCTCTCTCTCATGAATAAAATAAATAAAATCTTTAAAAAAAAATTAAAAAATTAAAAAAAAAAAACTGGTACCTGCAGAAGCCAGGCCAGTCTCCACAGGGCCTGATCTATAGGGTTTCCAACCGTTACTCCTGGGTCTCAGACAGGTTCAGTGGCAGCGGGTCAGAGACAGATTTCGCCCTGAGAATCAGCAGGGTGGAGGCTGAGGATGCTGGAGTTTATTACTGCCAATAAACTCTACAAAATCCTCCCACAGTGGTCCAGCCCTGCACATAAACCTCCTTCCTCTGGGTGGTGCAGCTGCCCATGGGTGGTGATAGTTTGGGGAAGAAGCAGGTTTAGATTGTCTTACTCTGTTCAGTTAGTCTACAGGTGAGCTGGGATCAGCAGACAGTTTAACATTTATAGACAAAAAGCCTTCATCCCCAGCACACTATTTCTCCACTTATCCTTATGAATCAGTGGTGTATTTCTAAAGAATTTTTGTATTTATTCCAAAAAAACTAGACTCCTATAAGGCAGATGGATAATACGGTCTTGAGGATACAGAAAAGTCAGGCATGTCAACATAACTGTTTCTCTCAGTGTTTTGAAAGAACATATACGGTAAACACATGCACAGAGCCTTCCCTGAGCTCCCTGTAACCAGAATGCTTCGCCACAGATTTTACCTTTTTGGGTGACAATTTGCAGTTATTGGTCCAAGGCAACCAGTTTCAGTCACAGGTGACTCAGGGCTCAGCCAACCACTCCAGCCCACCTGCAGCTGGGGGACCTCCCCTGCCGGGCGGGGTGATCTCACTCAAGGACAAACAAACTCCCCTTTAATCAGAGACAAGAGCCTCCCTTTGGATCCAGGAGGTGCCCAGGCCTCCGTGTCTCTAATCTCATCCGAAGCAGTGTGGGCCTGGCTGTTTGGGTTGACAAAGTCTAGAGAACACAGTGCACAGAATGGGGAAGAGTAGCAGAGTCTCCGTGCCCCATAAAGGGACTGCAGAATAACAGACTCAGACCCCAAGGAGACAGTCTTCCCAGGCACACAGTCACACACTGGCTTCCAGCTTTATGGAGCTCAAACCAACAGCATCTGACAACAGACACAAAGTGCAATGAGACCTGGGGCACCTGGGTGGCTCAGTCGTTAAGCGTCTGCCTTTGGCTCAGGTCATGATCCCAGCGTCCTGGGATCGAGTCCCACATTGGGCTCCTTGCTCAGCGGTGAGTCTGGTTCTCCCTCTCCCTCTGCCCCTGCTTGTGTTCCCTCTCTCATTATGTCTCTCTCTGTCAAATAAATAAAATCTTAAAAAAAAAAAAAAGTACAATGAGACCCACCTGCCTAAGTCCCTCTTCATTCAGTGGTTGATGGTCAAGGTTGGAGATTCCCAAAGACTGATGGTCACCTGGGGTTCCTTGTTCTTTCAACCCATACAAAGTCTTATTTCTCAGTGCTGTGAAGTGACTCAGGTAGCTTGCTGGTCAGTTTTGTTCTCCAGGCCCCAGTACACTTTAAACAAAGAGACAGAAATTCTTCCTTAGAATTAGGAATGTGTGTCCTTTCTCCATTTCTGTTATCATATTTATGAAGGGCCCACCACAATATGACCACATCAAAATTAACTATATGTATCTCTAATGACTCTCTAAAATAATGTCACATTCTGAAGTACTGGGGACTAAAAGTTAACATAATTTTGGTGGGACATAATTCAACCACTAATACTGTATAGAAACCATCCTTAGTACACTTGAAAATAGTCCTACAAAACTAGCTTTACAATTTATAGAGTCTCTTTCTTTCTCTTTCTTCCTTCCTTCCTTCCTTCCTTCCTTCCTTCCTTCCTTCCTTTCTTTCTTTCTTTCTTTCTTTCTTTCTTTCTTTCTTTCTTTCTTTCTTTCTTCACTACTTAATTTTCTGACAACTTTCATTGGTGTATTTAATTAGGAGGGTTGGAATTGTCAGGACACAGACTGCTACCTGCTAATAGAAACACCTATTTGTACAGGTGCCATTAGAAGCCAGAAGGGAGACCTAGAGTCACTCTCCTTACAATCGTAAGGAAGGACCAGGCCAAGAAAACCAAAAACCTAAACTAACATAGCAGAATGAAGGGGTGAAGCATACTGTCACTAGTGAGATATAGGACATATGTATACCACATCCACCTGACACCACAGCTTCTCTCAGTGACCAGGATTCTTGCCCCAGAGTTCAGGGTTGAAAGCTCAACAAAATTCTTGTCAAATTACGTTCTCAGCATTATTTGAAAATGTTATTCTTAAGGATTTTCCAGAAGACATTCAGGCCAAACAGTCTTGAAGAATCTTACATATTATACTGTCCTTGTTAATTTGTGTTCTTGGCCAATTAAATCTGACTTTGGGGTGACTACTTAACATATAATCAGATGGCAAAATCTATTTTTTCATTTGCTTCCGAATTTGACTTGTAAGAGAAAAGCAACTTGACATGAGTACCATTTTTCAGGAGCTGTTCAATTCCACATGACCTGCATCAGGCTGACACGAGAAGTAAAATCAGGTTATTTCACTATTTGATAAAGGCTGGTGAGGTAGACCAACACCCCAGAGCAGCTCTTACCCAGCACCCTATTCCATAGTGACTGTATTTAAACAAAAGCCCAGGAATTTGTCAATGATGGGTCCCATTGTCTGAACCTATCTGGGACCCCAGAGTAAGGGTTGGAAACTTTATAGATCAGGCCCTGTGGAGACTGGCCTGGCTTCTGCTGGAACCAATTCAAATAAGTGGAAGAGTGTGAGCAACATGACATTCACCTTCCAGAGATGGACCCCGGACTCAGATGTGTGATCTGCTCCCTGATGCTTGCTCAGAGTGAAGGAACAATAAGCACTGGGTGCTTGCTGTGATCCACACTTTCACAGTGGGATTGCTCTTCCCACTGCTGCAGGTAGTACGGACTTGACTTTATTGGTTTTCTCTCAAACACAAAGGTCCCAAAGACCTTTTATTTCAATCTGCTCAAAGGTCGGCCCCTCCCACCTCCCCCCTGCCCCTTCCACACTGCTGCACCCAGCAGGGGATTTGCATAGTGTCCCCTAGGGAGGTCCTGCCCTTGCAAGTCTGAGATAAAAGGCCAGCTTGAATCTTGCTTTGACTTACCAGGACTCCTCAGTTCAACTTCTCAAAATGAGGTTCCCTGCTCAGCTCCTTGGGCTGCTAATGCTTTGGTTCCCTGGTAAGGACAGAGGGCGGAGAAGAAAGAGAATTAGTGGGGCTGGGGGGTGAGCTGTGGGGACTCCTCTGCTCTGCACATGTATTGTGTGTGCCTGTAGGAGGTGTGTGACTTGACCTCCAGGGTGGGGCAGGTGATGGGTAGATGTGGGAGGTGAGGAAGATTCCAGAAGGAACAAGGACCTGTGCTCTAGTGAGGACTGTGACAGAGAAGGTGGGGATGGGGTGGGCAATGTTCAGAGGCCTCTCTCTGCTTCACGGATCTCAGGCTTATTATTGAATGTGCATTTTTGCAACATGTTTGAAATCTCAAATAATGAGAGTAAAAAGCAGTATTTTGGTTAAATAACCAAATGGAAACAATGAAAATAGCTAAATATATTTGTAATGATCATGGCACTTCTCTCTCCTTACCTAGGATCCGGTGGGGAGGTTGTGATGACCCAGACTCCACTCTCCCTGCCCGTCACCCCTGGAGAGCCGGTCTCCATCTCCTGCAGGGCCAGTCAGAGCCTCCTACACAGTGATGGAAACACCTATTTGAGTTGGTTCCAGCAGAAGCCAGGCCAGTCTCCACAGGGCCTGATCTACCTGGTTTCCAAGCGTTACACTGGGGTCCCAGACAGGTTCAGTGGCAGCGGGTCAGGGACGGATTTCACCCTGAGAATCAGCAGGGTGGAGGCTGACGATGTGGGAGTGTATTACTGCGGGCAGTTATCTACAGTCTCCTCGCACAGTGGTTCATGCCCGCACACAAACCTCCCTGCCTGGGGCGTCCAGCTGCCTGAGGGAGTGGCTTCTCTGGGGAATCACAGGAGAGCCTCTGAGTCTGTGTCAGAGGAAGGAGTTGGAGGACCCGGGGGCGCAGCTTGCAGCTGGGCGTCAGGCTCCACGTGTTAAGGCCCCGACAGCTGCCCGGCCTGGCATGGCAGAAGCAGCAGGGGAATTTAGGGGCTCCTGTCATGTCAGGTGAAAGGAAGAGCAAACGAGGGTTCCTCCACCTAATCTTCCGGCTGTGCCTTTGTTTCTCAAGTAAATGTAGTCACTCTAGTAACCAGACAAGTGACATAGATCTGTGGTAGAAATTGAATACTTATTGGAATGAACAGTGTGGGCTGTATCTTCCACAAGATAAAATTTACCAAGATTGGTAGTAGTGGTATTTTCTCACTTTTCCTCTTTCTACTTCTCTACTACTTCACTATCCTCTCCATTAACATGTTCAAGAGAGCGATCTACACAACTGTCCTCAGGGAGAGTATGGGTGAGAAAAATCCGTAAAAAATTCTTAAATCTGATAGGGCGCCTGGGTGGCTCAGATGGTTAAGCATCTGCCTTCGGCTCAGGTCATGATCCCAGGGCCCTGGGATCGAGCCCCGCATCAGGCTCCCTGGGAGCCTGCTTCTCCCTCTGCTTCTCTCTCTCTCTCTCCGTCTCTCATGAATAAATAAAAAAATCTTTAAAAAAATTTTTTTAAACCTGATAAATCAAAAGAAACATTTACAAATTTTTGGTTATTGTAAGATTCCAATGCCAAGTGTCTTTGATTTCCCTCAAATACATTTTCCTGAGTGACAAGGGGTTCCTGAAATTTCAAAAGTGGTTTTGAAAGTAAACAGCTAAGTAATGATAGAGACAAAAGTTACCTTTGTATATCACAGGAAAATCCTAAATATATGAGGTTTTTCTTTTTCTCCAAAATGGTAAGGATGTTAAGTATATAGAACCCAAACACTGCTTTAGTTGTGATGAATTTGGTGCTTTATTTTTGTAAAAATAGATTTTGAACGATAAGTAAATGCATTATTTTCACAGGATGTGGTCATTAACTGAAAGTGACCCTGAATAGGATGTTCTTTTGGAAATGTATAGAAAATTTATATATTGACTAGATTCCATTCAAAAGAATGTTTCAGAGTGACACTTGACCTAGAAATTGGTCATGCATTGTCATTACACATATGATACAAGTAAGAATGATTGAATTCGCAAAACACCCAAACTTGTTTGTAGATAACAAAATAAAGTGTATTACAGATGATTCCCTATCTCAAGGTAATGAACACAAGTACAGTTAAATCTAATACGTCAATTCCAGTAGCTTTGATAGTGTGTGGAAAAATGTATATAGAAATCCAGTAGACTGGAGCCCACAAATCATGGAACTTATAACACTTAATTATTTTAGAATATTGATAAATGCATGATCATGATGGAAAGAGATTATGGAAGCACTGGGAGGAAATGCAATGAGAGCTGGAAGACCAGCAGGACCATAGTCAGCCCACATGATTGACACACCTTGTGATCTGGAATTTCTGCTTTGATGTCAGGAGAGAAAGCCAAAGTCCCTCAGTGTGTTGAACTAGGTAGAGGAATCTTACATGATGCTCGAATCCCAAATGGCTGCACTCAAAACAAAATTGTAAAAAATAAATGATCTCATAAAACTGAAAGGAGACACCATGGAGAGTCAGAGGACAATCTAATTGGCTGTTACACAGAAATCTCAAAATACAGTTGATTGAGTATGACAAGATTTCTCTGTCTCTAAGGTAACAGTCCAGAGGTGGGCAGGCTCCTTTGGTAAGGGAAGTGGTTCTGTTGCATTAGGTCACTCTGTTTTTCCCCAGCTGGTCACTTTTGTGTAGAGACCTCGCTCCTAGTTTCAGCAGTTGGTTTCAAATCCTATTTATTTATTTTTTTTACAGATTTCTTTTGTTTTTAAGTAATGTCCACACCCATTGTGGGACTTAAACTACAACTCTGAGATCAAGAGTCATATAGTCTACTGACTGAGCCTGAAAGTGCCCCCAAACCTATTCATTCTTGCGCTCACGGTCACTATATCAAAATACATAGCACATCTGAAGGAGAGTCTCTGAAGTCTACAGGATTTCATACCCAAGCAGACTCTTTTGTGTGATGCCATATGTGGTAGGATTAATGGATGCCATAGTCATGAGTCCATTGTTACACGATCTTCATGACAAACTAGATTTCTTGTCACAACCAATACTCTCATGGGTAAACCAAAAATTCTGTGAACTCTTGGATGGTGACAGCAGCTGAGCCTCACTGGGTCAGGAAGGCTTACTGTATCTGGAACACAACTAATCCCAGAAGTGATGCATCACACCCTCTCCAGGGGAACCGATGAGATGTACAAAAGTGGGAAAAAGTGGTTGGTGGTATTAGTCCCTGCTGGTGGCAGCTCAGATACGCAGAGGTGACAATAATTAGCTCTTCCCTATTGAAGATGGTGGTGGTGGACTCACACCATTGGGCATATGCATAAACTCCATACATGTCACCATGGCTGCATCACTCATGAACATTGTGAGCAAATAACATGGAACCTGAGATAAGGACTGAGGACAGCTCATCTGCTCAGAGGTATAAGCTTGTTGGTTTGGTGTCTTACCTGTGGTGGATGCTCTGTTCAAGTTTGACAAAACGCTGAGTTCCACTGACATAATGTCCACTTCCTTCTGTACATCCACAGTCCTTTGTCCAGATCTCATAATCAGTGACCTTCCGATTTTCTCCTCCCAGGCCCTTGATTAATCAGACATCTAGGAATCCTTGCCAATCCTTACCTCAGGCCAGTTGTGTATTTGTAGGAGTCAGAGTCATAAAGACAGGAACCGTAGTAAGTGATGCCCCAGGTATGTTAGTCATGCTGTGCCCATGGATAGAGAAACCCAAACACTTGGAAGAGTTCAAGAATTCTACTCTCTTCATATCTATACTTCTCTCTCTCTTTTTTTTAATCCCAAATACCAAAGGAGCCTCATGTCCTCCTTGACTTTACTCATCTCCAGGGATCCTTAATACAAAAGTGTGGTCAGGAAAAGTCAGGTACAACGTAGAGAGTGGAGATCCCACGGGTCTCCTTAGCCCCAATGTGTATTTGCAGGTTTCCGTCCTTCTCAGGTGCTTTTGAGGGGAGGTTCTGACTCATCCCGCTCAGTTATCATCAGAGTGTGCATCTGAGGATTTAAAAAGAACACCTTTCATAGTATCCAAAATCTATAAAGAACTTATCAAACTCAACACCCAAAGAACAAATAATCCAATCAAGAAATGGGTAGAAGACATGAACAGACATGTTTCCAAAGAAGACATCCAAATGGCCAACAGACACATGAAAAAGTGTTCAACACCGCTCGGCATCAGGGAAATCGAAATCAAAACCTCAATGAGATACCACCTCACACCAGTCAGAATGGCTAAAATTAACAAGTCAGGAAACGACAGATGTTGGCGG